AACTTGCCATGAAAATAGTTCCAAGAGATGATAGAGCCGACTTTGCCCCAGTCGCCTTCATGCAGATCACAACCTTGAATGTTGCCTGGAGATGCTTTGGAGACATGGTGTGGTTTCCCAGCGAACATGTGATGGAACATGTCAGCCGAAGCTTTGATCTCCACATCTGTCTCAAGCTTCCCCACCAAACTAGACGTCTCGGTTTTCTTCACTTCCTCTTCCACAGGTTTCTTTGTACCCTCCACCATCTGAGAAGGTGTCACTATCACCGTGGTCTCCGCCTCTTCTACCTTTGCAGCCTCGGCCATTTTAGTCGGTGCCACCTGTTGCTCCACTTTCTTGGCAATTTCAGTTTCGACCTCCGCCATTTTTTCTTCTTCTTAAGGAAATTAGGGTTTTTTTTAGAGAGGCTGGATTTTGTTTTTGGTATCGATGGTGAGTTCGCTTGGGAATTCTATAGCCCTATAAGTAGAGAAATGTGAGAGCGGCTGTAGAAGAAGAAGGCATGCACATGTTTATTGGGAATCCCAATCGCATCGATCATTTATGTCTCCACCGCGGCAGCAAGCCCACTAGAGATATTTGGAGTAGTGAATTATTATCATTAGAGATTTCCACTTAACACCTGTCCTCTTTTAAATGTGTCTACAACCCTTTTTTTGTTTTTTAATGAAAGTCCCTTTTTATTGTAAAGCTTCACGTATATACTATTAACTGATTAAACTTTAACCAAAAAAAATACGGTGAATTATTTGCATTGTTTCATAATGATATTTCGATCACACGATTCACATCGATTGCTCATTTCTCTGTAAACGTTTGCATGCTCAAATGCATTTGTTATTGGCCGCTATGTTTTTTTTTTGTTTTAAAGATAAATTAGATTGCCGAAAAAATGAGAGAATGTTTCGGAAGCTTATGTTGACTAAATCAATGTCGGATATACTCTTGTTGTACCATGTATTTTTTTTTAATTTTTTTTTATACCAAACAACTAGTTGTACTATATCTTTACAGTTGTACCAAGTATCACATAATTGTACAAAGTAATACCTAGTTATACAGTATCTTTAAAGTTATACAAGTATTACCATGGTACAACAGTTGTACCAAATATTAGTACCGAAGTTGTATTATGGTACAAAAGTTGTACCACGTAGGAGTATGTGGTACAAGGAGTATGCCAGACAATAGAGGAGTACGATAGAAAATAGTAGACACATATTGGAAAATCTCAGACATTTGTCCGAAAAAAATTCAGGAATAATTTCATAAATAAAATTCGCAGAAATGAATTCTTAGGACAAAGTCACAAAATTACACTTTTAAGCTCGTTTTGTGCAACAAAAGGCTGGTAGGAATTTAATGGGACATGATCGTATCTTCAGTAACAATTATATCCCATATGTTAAGGGATTGGAGTCACTATGACGAAACCAGCTTCCTTAATTTGTGATTTAGATTTTATTTTACACAATCTTTAGTAATTAGAAATAGATCAAATAAGAAACAGATCCAGCCCGAAAGTGGCTTCATTGATCTGACCCAAAATCGGTTTGACCCAAATGAAGTATGACCTCAAACCCGAAATTAATTATATATTGAGATTTTTGTTATCGTCCTTTAACTATCGAAGTAAATGCTCATGGAGTTTTTTGGGCCACAAATTTAAGTTCTTGAAACCCCAAAAAAAAAAAAAAAATTTATTATTTAGTTTTTAGAAAAATTTTAAAAAATATAATAATGCAATACTTTTGAAATTTTTTAAAAAATGCCATTTTTCAAAATTATGTTTTCTTTATATTATTTATATTTGGGTTAATTATGTTTTATTAAGGTTTAGTTTTGAGTGTTTAGGGTGTTTTAGGTATCAAAATATTT